GGTTGACGAAGTCATCCACAGAGAGGGGGATGGGGGGAGGATTCAGCAGGGAGGAGAAGGTGGCAAAGAGCTTCCTAGGGTTAGAGGCAGATGCTTGGAATTTAGAGTGTTAGAAAGTGGCTTTAGCAGCAGAAACAGAGGAAGAAAATGTAGAGAGGAGGGAGTGAAAAGATGCCAGGTCCGCAGGGAGTCTAGTTTTCCTCCATTTCAGCTCGGCTGCCCTAAGCCCTGTTCTGTGAGCTCGCAATGAATCGTCAAGCCACAGAGCAGGAGGGGAGGACCGAGCCGGCCGGGAGGATAGGGGACATAGAGAGTCAAAGGATGCAGAAAGGGAGGAGAGGAGGGTTGAGGAGGCAGAATCAGGAGATTGGAGGGAGAAGGATTGAGCAGAGGGAAGAGATGATAGGATGGAAGAAGAGAGAGTAGCGGGAGAGAGCGAGCGAAGGTTGCGACGGCGCATTACCATCTGAGTAGAGGCAGAGTGAGTAGTGTTGGAGGAGAGCGAGAGAGAAAAGGATACAAAGTAGTGGTCGGAGACATGGAGGGGAGTTGCAGTGAAATTAGTAGAAGAACAGCATCTAGTAAAGATGAGGTCAAGCGTATTACCTGCCTTGTGAGTAAGGGGGGGACAGTGAGAGGGTGAGGTCAAAAGAGGAGAGGAGTGGAAAGGAGGCAGAGAGAAATGAGTCAAAGGTATACGTAGGGAGGTTAAAGTCACCCAGAACTGTGAGGGGTGAGCCATCCTCAGGAAAGGAACTTATCAAGACGTCAAGCTCATTGATGAACTCTCCAAGGGAACCTGGAGGGCGATAAATGACAAGGATGTTAAGCTTGAATGGGCTAGTGACTGTGAGAGCATGGAATTCAAATGAGGAGATAGACAGATGGGTCAGGGGAGAAAGAGAGAATGTCCACTTGGGAGAGATGAGGATTCCTGTGCCACCACCCCGCTGACCAGATGCTCTCAAGTTATGCGAGAACACATGGTCAGACGAGGAGAGAGCAGGAGGAGTAGCAGTGTTTTCTGTGGTAATCCATGTTTCCGTCAGCGCCAAGAAGTCGAGGGACTGGAGGGTAGCATAGGCTGAGATGAACTCTGCCTTGTTGGCTGCAGAATGGCAGTTCCGGAGGCTGCCAGAGACCTGGAACTCCACGTGGGTCGTGCGTGCAGGGACCACCAGGTTAGAGTGGCAGAAGCCACGCAGTGTGAGGCGTTTGTATAGCCTGTGCGGAGAGGAGAGAACAGGGATAGAAAGACACATAGTTGACAGGCTACAGAAAATGGCTACAATAATGCAAAGGAGATCGGAATGAAATGAACTAAACATCCCTCATTTACGTTTCACTGAAACACCCAAATATAACTCTCCCAACTTCCTCCTCAGAAACTATAATAGTATAAAGGGTACTCCTTCCATAGCCTCCAACTGCTCTTAAAAGCTAGTAAAACTAAATGCATGCTCTTCAATCGAACGCTGCTTGCACCCGCCTGCCCGACTAGAATCACTACTCTCGGCGGGTCTGACTTAGAATATGTGGAAAACTTCAAATACCTAGGTGTCTGGTTAGACCGTAAACTCTCCTTCCAGACTCACATTAAGCTTCTCCAATCCAAAGTTAAATCTAGAATCGGCTTCCTATTTCACAACAAAGCCTCCTTCACTCATGCTGCCAAACATGCCCTCGTAAAACTGACTATCCTACCGATCCTTGACTTCGGCAATGTCATTTACAAAATAGCCTCCAACACTCTACTCAGCAAATTGGATGTAGTCTATCACAGTGCCGTCCGTTTTGTCACCAAAGCCCCATATACTACCCACCATTGTGACTTGTACGCTCTCGTTGGCTTGCCCTCACTACATATTCGTCGCCAAACCCACTGGCTCCAGGTCATCTATAAATCACTGCTAGGCAAATCCCCGCCTTATCTAAGCTCATTTGGTCACCATAGAAACACCCACCTGTAGTATGCACTCCAGCAGGTATATCTCACTAGTCATCCCCAAAGCCAACACCTCCTTTGACCACCATTCCTTACAGTTCTCTGCTGCTAATGACTGGAACGAACTGCAAAAAATCTCTGAAGCTGGAGACTATTATCTCCCTCACTAACTTTAAGCATCAGTTGTCAGAGCAGCTTACCGATCACTGCACCTGTACACAGCCCATCTGTAATTAGCCCACCCAACTACCTCATCCCCATATTGTTATTTATTTTGCTCATTTGCACCCCAGTATCTCTATTTGCACAACATCTTCTGCACATCTATCATTCCAGTGTTAATACTAAATTGCAATTATTTTTCACTATGGCCTATTTATTGCCCTACCTCCATAACTTAATACATTTGCACACACTGTATATAGATTTTATATTGTGTTATTGACTGTATGTTTTGTTTTATCCCATGTGTAACTCTGTATTGTTGTTTTTATCGCACTGCTTTGCTTTATCTTGGCCAGGTCGCACCAACTGTTGTCACCTTCTCACCAAGCTGTTTGGCAATGGTCTTGTAGCCCATTCCAGCCTTGTGTAGGTCTACAATCTTGTCCCTGACATCCTTGGAGAACTCGTTGGTCTTGGCCATGGTGGAGAGTTTGGAATCTGATTGATTGATTGCTTCTGTGGACAGGTGTCTTTTATACAGGTAACAAGCTGAGATTAGGAGCATTCCCTTTAAGAGTGTGCTCCTAATCTCAGCTCGTTACCTGTATAAAATACACCAGGGAGCCAGAAATCTTTCTGATTGAGAGGGGGTCAAATACATATTTCCCTCATTAAAATGCAAATCAATATATAACATTTTTTACATGCGTTTTTCTGGATGTTTTTTTTTTTGTTATTCTGTCTCTCACTGTTCAAATAAACCTACCATTAAAATTATAGACTGATCATTTCTTTGTCAGTGGGCAAACGTACAAATCAGCAGGGGATCAAATACTTTTTTACCCTCACTGTATAACAACCGTATATCAACCAAGGTAGCTAACGTAGCTAACGTAGCTAGGTAGCTAACGTAGCTAGCTAATGACGTTATGTTGTTCTGTGTTGGCTCGCTTGTGTAACTTGAGCTAAATATATCAGCTAGTAGGCTATATAAGAAATGGGTTGCTAGATTAGTCAGAAGAAACTTATCATTTACATCTATCCACCCGATTATTCATGGATATCGGTAACGTTACACTGTTTCCTGCATTAGGGAAGAAAGGATTGTGGAATGTTGACGAGGAGGGCAAGTAGAAGATTTTCATGCGATTCTACACAGTCCCATACAAGAAGCAGCAAGCTTTGATTCTCTCAGGTTTGGAGCAGGTGAGATCCAAAATGACTGAGTAGCCATATTATTGTATACTCATTGAACGTTGAAGCAGATGATACACTAGTAGAAGTTGCAATCCTGCTGTGCTGGTCTAAAGAGGGAGTGTGGATATTTAAGCAGATTGTCTATCATCATTGTTACTGTTAGTTATGGGTTAATGGACCTGTGTACATTTTAGTCATTTAGCAGACGCTCTTATCCAGAGAGTGAGTGCATACATTTTTTACTGGCCCCGTGGGAATCAAACCCACAACCCTGGCGTTGCAAATGCCATGCTCTACCAACTGAGCTACACGGGGCCAGTATGAAAAATGTTTAATTGATTTAGCTAATTTTTCTTTCTTCTTCTTATAATCTTATGTTCGGCTAGTTAGGAAGATGTAGAGCTACTACATACATTCAGTAAGAAGGTGCAGAGGATTATACAGGCATCCGTTTATTTTTGTAGTTTAATGAGATATTAGTTCCTGACTAGCACATGAATCCAGGTCTTTGTGACTGTCAAAGGTGGGATGGCGCCCTGGTGAGAACATCATCGAAACTGTCAAGGCTCTTGGTGTAATGTGATGATTGACAGACAAAGGGACTGAGGTCCTGGTCAGTCAGTACTGATACAATGTTGGAAACCTGTGTGTGTGTTTGTGTGTCTGTATCTGTGTATTCTCAGCCCAGGAATGAGCAGGGGGATTATAATAATAATAATAATAATAATAATAATAATAGAGAGAGACAGTGGGGAGAGTCAGAGGGATCATTAGGCTCACTGACTGACGGATATTATAGAACGTTGCAAACCTGGAAAACTGTTGCAAACCTGTGTGTGTGTGTCTGTTTACAATCCAGCACAAAGTGAAGTGAAGGCAGCCTCAGGAACAGCCTAAAAGAAAACAACAGAGAGGCCAGAGACGGACTGTCTGCAAGAAGACATTTATGAACCTATATCAACTGACAAACAGCCGTCTACAGGTATGATTAGGCTATGTATTATGTCTACATTTCTTACTTAAATCAGAATATGCTGATCAGAACTCTCTGTGATCCCAGTATGCATCCACACATGATACTTACATGTGAGCTGGATGTGGTTCTTCTGTCTACATTGGGTCCTCTGTATTTTCTTGCTATTCAGATTAACTCAAGTAAATGTATGTGCTTTCAGTGGCCTGAGTGCATCCACACTGGGCGGAAATATGTTCATAATGGGGCCCTGGCCACCTCGTAAATGGATTTGTGCCCAAATAACCTTTTATAATGACTGTGTTCAAATATTTGTTTTTGCACAGGTTATTCAGGAAAAGTTAGGCCTACTTGAAGGTCAGGACAAGGTGAAGGGTCAGAGGCAGAACAGGGAGAGCAGGTTTGGCCTACTGAGGCTAGGTCTCTGTTAGAGGATGGAAGAGGCAAGCATAGCAATAGGTAGGCTAATGCATTACTAATTTTCATGTGATAATCAATCCGAGTGCACAATAAATAAATAAATAAGTGTATAAATAGATGAATGACAGGTAATGGGTTATTAGGGTTGTCCCTGTCCCTTGCATCTTTTTTACCAACACAATATGCTCTTTAATTATTTTGTCTATTGATCATAACGTTATCTCCTATTGTTAGTAATGACTGTCCTGTTTTGCAGGCCACACCACATACATCTCACTGTGAGAGAGGACATTAATCAACATGTTGTCCTTTCCACGACTGTCAAACCACTATTCCAGGATGAGGGGGGATGTGGACCGAGAGTACCTCAGTCCAGATCTTAATCTGCGCCACATGTACAGGCTCTACAAAGAGAAGAACCCCATGGCGAAGGCAAAATTCTGGCTCTACTGGGACATTTTCACTCAGCAGAATAATCACATTTGGCCAAACCAAGGACTGACACTTGCTCTAAATGTGATATATTTTACAACAAACTGTCATCAGTAGCCACAGAAGATGAGATCACGAAGGTGTTGGCGGAGAGTGAGCTGCACCACAGGAAAGCTGAGAAAGCATACTCACAGCTCAAATGATACAGTGGGCCAAAGCCAACAATGACTGCCATGTTATATGTGTAGATTTGCAGGGCATGATGTACACAACTAGCCTAACTCACTCCAACATCTACTACCAAAGGCAGCTATCAAACTACAGCCTTTGCATTCAAGAGTTAGGAACAGAGGTGCCTGCAACTATTTTATTTATTTATTTTTATTTCACCTTGATTTAACCAGGTAAGCCAGTTGAGAACAAGTTCTCATTTACAACTGCGACCTGGCCAAGATAAAACAAAGCAGTGCAATAAAAACACATATTTTACATTTTAGCAGACGCTCTTATCCAGAGCAACTTACAGGAGCAATTAGGATTAAGTGCCTTGCTCAAGGGCACAGACAGATTTTTCACCTATTCGGCTCGGGGATTAGAACCAGTGACCTTTCGGTTACTGGCACAACGCTCTTAACCACTAAGCTACCTACCGCCCACATATGGGGTAAACAAAACATAAAGTCAAAATGAAACTATGTGAAACTATGTGTGTCTGTCATGAAGGAGTTGCCCACAGGGGATCTTTAGAAGTGGCAAGCTGTGTCCTGAAGTGGGTCCAGACCAGTGGAGGCTGCTGAGGGGAAGACGGCTCATAATAATGTATGGAACGGAGTAAATGGAATGGCATCAAACCATGTGTTTTATACCATTCCCCTATTCTGCTCCAGCCCTTACCACGAACCCGTCCTCCCCACTTAAGGTGCTACCAACCTCCTGTCGTCCAGACCAAGTTTACTCCACTGGTAAAGCCAATAGAGAGATAACTTGTCATCTACAGTGACAGATGCTGTTGCCAGAACAACAACTGGCAAATGCTGAACCTCTTGTCCTTGGTCATTACATTGGGTTAGTTCTCACAAGTGCAACAAAAGTTAATGGTGTCTGGGCACTAATTTCTTCATCGTGATCGATCCTTCGTTGTCATTGAGAAACAACGCAAGGTTTCAGTACTTCATACCCATGATGAAGTTTCAAAAATGATTCCACAGACAAGACCCAAAAACTCCTTTAATGTCATTCAAATGGTGTGTGAAGACTTCAGGCAGCTCCCAGATTCTGTCCATAAGCGACCAGCTGGACTACACACCACCTCACTGATGTGACTCAAACTCTCAGGTACTTTACAAAAAATCTCTCTCTGTGTCTCTGTCTTTTAGCGGGGTTCCCTAACCCCAGCACACTGCTTTATACCTGAAGTAATGGTATAATTGTATCGTTAATTTTGTTTCTGACGTCCTTTATAATTTCAGATGATGATCCTTGGAACATACACACCAGGCAGAGCCACAGCCAGTATGAGGTATGGAAGTCCTGGTCTGTCTGTAAACTGAAGCATGGAGCTAGACCTCAAGCTCCCTCATTGGCAAGCCACTATCCCAGGGCCTACTAGTCTCCTCTTCCAGTAAAGAAAATAAAAAATACAGAGATCTGGACTACCTGCACATATAGTCACTAGAATGTGAAGCTTCCCCGGAGGAATAGGCAAGTGCAGGTTGTAGAATCTTGTGTGCCTTACTTTCTACAGGGGCAGTGTTTTTAGTCAACCTTTTAGTCAACATTCTATCTCCATAGCAAAGGTCCATATTCATTCCAAATCTGTTGCATTCATTTATGCATGTCAATCTCTCCTGGCTCAAAGTGGAGGAGAGATTGGCTTCATCACTACTTGTATTTGTGAGAGGTATTGAAATGTTGAAGGCACCGAGCTGTATATTTGAAGTACTGACACACAGCTCAGACACCCATGCATACCCCACAAGACATGCCACCAGAGGTCTCCACACAGTCCCAAAGTCCAGAACAGACTATAGGAGGCGCACAGTATTACATAGAGCCATGACTACATGGAACTCTATTCCACATCAAGTAACTCATGCAAGCAGTAACATTTTATTTAAAAAACAGATAAAAATACACCGTATGGAACAGCAGGGACTGTGAAGCAACACAAACATAGGCAGAGACACATGCAAACAAACACACGATAACATACGCACTGTACACATGGATTTTGTGTTGTAGATATGTGGAAGTAGAGTAGGGCACTGAGGGCACACACTTAATGTGTTGTGAAATCTGTTGTGAATATATTGTAATGTTTTTTATTTTATTGTCTAACTGCCTTAATTTTACTGGACCCTAGGAAGAGTAGCTGTTTACAACAATCAACACCCAATCCCTGTTTGACGTCTACATCTTCCATTAATTTGGGTCTGGGGCTCATAGGTTCATTTACACAACACTAACCACGTTTACATCCAACCATTTCATGCGGATTACCTGACGCATGAAAAAAAGTAATGACTGGGCTGACGGAAACATGAAATTATGGTACAATTTTATAAATGCCTACAGACAATTTATTTGTTCAACATGGTGGAATCTTAAAATTAATTATGCGAGAAATGGTGGTGGAAACTACTTTATGTGCAAATATTGATATAATAACCATCATATCGAAGTAAACTTGGGAGTCACACTATTATATGTTGTCTCGGGAAAGCACGCAGTTTATAAGGCTACAGATTAAATAAATGATGAACTTCACAGGGTGGTGAATGTGCAAGGTGATGAGCTTGATGCTCCTTTCCAATAAATATCAAGGGTCTTATTCTGGTGACATGATGATCGATGCTTGGTTGTCATTTGACAAATAAAAGTAATATCGCTCTTATCCATAATATCATAATATAAATAGCCTATACCCCACTGTATGTGCGAGCTGTTGGCTAGAGCGCATGTGCAAAAACCAGAGTGGGTACATTTGCTATATAATGCAACAGTTTGTGACAAAACCAGCAGTAGAGTTGAAAATGCGATGGAAACTCTTAACTTTTTTTATTCGGTACATGGGAATTTAACAGCAAAAGTAATTTTTTTGTGCACCATGTCATCACGCACAGCCTTATCTGCAAAAAGTCTGTTTGATGGAAACATCTCAGATGGGAAAATGTGCATATTGTTTTATGCAGATTTTAGAATATTCGCATGAAAATCTGTCAAATGGGGTGGAAACCTTTTATTTTACCAGGTTAGCCAGTTGAGAACAAGTTTTCATTTACAACTGCGACCTGGCCAAGATAAAGCAAAGCAGTGCGATAAAAACAACACAGAGTTACATATGGGGTAAACAAAACAAAGTCAAAAAGTATATTTAGTTAAAGAATGAAAAGTAAAATTGAGAAATATATACAAAATAGACAAAACTAAAAAAACAGGCTATTTACACAAGGACACTACAGAAAACATGACCGCACTGCTACGCCATCTTGGAATGTCATCTACCTAATGTCTTGGAGTGTACAGTTATGTGTAACAGATTTTGGAATGCTGTTCGTTTCATTCAAGGTTTACAAAGGCTATCATCTAGTTTCCCCATCAATCTCCCTATCCACTATTTAAACTTACAGGCTGCAAGTCAATTAAGGACTTTCTGGTCTCATTGAAGCTGGGTCAGAATGTCTTCCTGCCCATCTTGTAGACTGGTGTTGGGAGGACCACTGGCAGAAGTCTTAAGGTGATGTCACCTTGTGTATCTGGAGAGAATAATTTTTAGTGAATAACTTGATTGTTTCAGGCTAAAAATAAATGAGCATCTGAGGCACCACCATCAGGGTCATTTCAAACTATATCTGTACTTCGAAGAGAAGATCTTGGGCCTGCTTCTCTCAGCTGGTGAAGCAATGTTTTTTGTCCTTAAAGACCGCAATCCAGTTATCAGTGAGTTTCCCCAAGCATTCCGGGTTTAAAATGTAGAAGTCCTGAGCAATCTGTAGTAAAGCAGACAATTACTTTTTTTGTAATATTTTATCTTACTTTTTGACAGTAAACAAAAACATACATTGACAAAAACAATAGACAACTTAACATTTAGATACATACATTTCCACAAACAATGACATCACACATGCTCAGATCCACGTTCCCACACCCAATGCTGCCCCATATGACTTCAAATTCTGTTATTTGTTGTAGCCAGACAAACAATTACTTTTCCATTGCAGTTAATCACTAGTCTGGCTAACACCTAACTCTCGAAGTCCTCCTGACTTCAAAGTCTGGAATGCCTCCTTGATGTTGTTGGCACATTCGAGCCCCACAGTGGCGGTGTCATAATACCCATAAAACCTAGCGGTCAAACAGGGAAATGGTTCCAATCGTTTTTCCACCATTCATTTTTTTCCCCAATAGGGGATTTTAGAAACACATAAAATAAGGGCTGTGTTTCATGTAGGCTTACCCTGGCATGACATTTTGATAACTCTCGGACAAGGTAACTTTTATCAATATATTCGTCTCTATTTACTCTCCAAAATGCTAATTAGCATCAAAGTAGACATCATGCAAGCCTGTAGCTCAGTTGGTGGAGCATGGCGCTTGTAACGCCAGGGTTGTGGGTTCGATTCCCACAGTGGGCCAGTATGAAAAATATATGCACTCACTAACTGTAAGTCGCTCTGGATAAGAGCGTCTGCTAAATGACTAAAATGTAAATGACTACAAATCCCTGCAAGCTCCTGCACGTAATCTCTAGCTGACACCTTTGCTAACAGGTATTGTGTAAATGTACACAAGATAGTTCACAGAATTTTCAATTTTTAAAGAAATGTAGCCAATTTATTCATACATTAGATAGTTAATCCAGAGATTGTTCCCTTTGCCTCGATTCGGCAGTCTCATCCAAATCACCTAAATACAGGTGAATATATTGATAAAAGTCACCTTGTCCTAGAGAGATTTACACGGTTATCAAAACTTCACGCCAGGGAAAGCCTACATGAAACACAGCCCTTATTTTAAGTGTTTCTAAAAAACCATATGGGATTTTATTTAAATTTTTTCTATGGGAAAGTTGAATGGTGGAAAAACAATTTGAACCCTTTCCCTGTATGCCTGCTAGGTTTTATGGGTATTATGACTCATACTATGGTACTCTATACGTTGATAATGAAGGGGGATGGGCTTTTACTGGTTGGCTCTCCTCTGTGTCTTTCTCACTCCAACACCCACACAGCCCCCGATTGCCGCCCCCTTCTATTACAATGGTTGGATTTTCAAATCCAAACAATGAGAGGTCTCAACCCCCGAGGAAAAAAACAAATTTGAGAGAACCAATCAAACCCTGTCGCACAATTTATTAGCAAATGTTGCATTAACAGCCTCCTTTCCAGACCAGTGTGGTCACAGCTCTAACCGGCACTGTGTCTCACGTGGGTCGCGTCAGCCAGGCTAGTTAATCACAGCAAACAGAATCAAATTCAAGTCTAATTTATATTTTTTTATGTAACCCACCATACCTGGATTATCCAGAAGACGTGAGTACTCTCGGACTATCTCGATTGACTTGCTCACATTCTGTCTGGTGCACATAGAACAGATCTACTGCTTCTTAGACTTGCTTTTAATGAGTGACACATCTATAACTCAAATTTCTATGTGAATTTGGCCAGGTCGCCCAATAAGTTACATACTGCAGCTTTAAGGTTGTACTGTTGGTTATCGATGACAATATAGAAGATGCTGTTTTACACAGGGTCAATTAAAATCAATGTCCCCCCCCGTCCCCACTCTCAAAAATGAATTTCTCAATTTTACTTACCATCAAACTTTGGAATCAAAGAGGCCAGGTTCCAGTTATTCAGCATGTCCTTTACAAAGCTGTCCATCCATTTCAGTACAGAAATAAAGAAATGTTAGAAACATAACTAGCTAGCTATACTAACTTCCCTACATCAAATTTATGGTAAACGTTAGCTAGCTAACAGAATTTGCATCCACCTTCACAAGTCTGACTAATGCTGCCACTGTCAGAAACCATTGAAAACCAGTACAGTAACGCTAGCTAACTCAATCACCATACAAGCATGAGATAAGCCTGCCAAATAGCTTGGTTAAATTAACCCAGATGGGGAATTAGTAAAATCTAGCTATGGTAACTTAGCTAACACGTGAAACAGTGTCTGAGACAGTCCAGAAGAAGTGTCAGACTTAGCTAGCTACTGTTAGAGACACTGACACAGTTAGCTAGCTAGCCAAACGTCGACAAAAACTGTGCATTTAGTTTTGTTCCACAGCAACACTTCAGTAAGGTAGCATCGTGAGCATGGTCACGAGGCTAACGTTACCTAGCTAGCTAACGTTACCACATTCAGAGATATTAGCACAGAAATTGGCTAGCTAGCTGATGGTTGGTAGCTAACGCTCAAGCTAACATTAGCTAGCTACACAATTATGATAGAGCAACCTATTTAACCTGAATTACCATCAAATTCATAACATTTGTTACTTACCGTTTTCACGATTCAGTCACCAAAACACCCTTAGTCTGCCGAAATAACGTTAGCTGTTTTACACTCAGTCAATTAACCTACTGGCTGGGTAGAATATCCA